TGGTCCGGAATCCTTCCCTCCTCTGATAATCCGACCAAGGAAGAACAAGACAGCCATCTTCAATCTATCAGTACATGGTTGCTCCATAGACAGCAGCTTCTGCTCCACATCTGTTATGGTGATCTTCTTATTACTACCGAAGTAATAATCCACAAACTTAGTACCCCCGAGCTCCAAATGTCTACTCGGATACTCATGGTAGTCCAAGCCAGAAATGAGGGCATGCTCCCTCATAGAATAGCGGATGGGCACACCATTCACCGCAAACCATGCAGCATCTTCTCCTTCAATATTAATGGTGTGCATGAGTAACATCCACATTCCTTGGAGCTTCAGGAATACTTCATCAGGCATGTGGAAGAAATGACGAAACTGTGGATGGCTTGTGAACCAGCTGACCTCCTCCTTTAACCCCTTAATCACATCGACTGTATCCTTAACCTTGCACTTCGACTGAATCTTGCAAGTCTTCAGGTACTCTGTGCTCTTGAAGTACAATTCAAGAGGCTGTGGTGGTTGCCTTTCCTGCAATCAAAATATATATGTATTAGTCATTTCTTACTAATAAGAGTAGTAAAATAAATGATTAAAATGTGCAAAAATTACCTTGGAGGACACAGCAGACATGTCTTCACTTTCAGTATCAAGTGAGAGCGAAACTACAGTCTTATCTCTCACTGGGGCACTCTCTTGCTGGACTGCCACTTCTTTGGCCGGCTCATTCCCATCTGACACCACTTTTCTAGCTCTAGTTCTGCTGGAGACTCTACCTCCAGTAGATGGACGTCTCCTTTTTTGGCCCTGTGTTTTCTGATACACAACATTGACACTTAATTAACCATAACCAATACACACCAAGCAGTGACAATTTATTACTAAAACCAAAAGAATAATATACCTTAGAGGGGTGTTCAGGCAGATCATCACTAGTGTCCCTGTCTGATAGCTTTTGCACATTCTCTTCAACAACAGGGGTATCAGATTTTCGAGCTCTCGGAGATCTCTCAGTTTTCTTTTTAATTTTTTTTCCACCTTTACCTGCCATTAGCTCGTTCCTCTGAACATCCAGAAACAACAACACACATTTAGGCACAACCCATAATTATAAATCTCAAACAATTCATTCACTCAATAAATCACCAACTCTCTTTCAATTTACATTTAAAGAGTCAATCAACATTTCGTATTTAAAAAAAAGAAAAAAAAATAGATATTTTATTAGTGGGAGAATTGAGATTTTTTATGAGTGAAAGGGGCATTTGGAGTTAATGTCCAGCTTAAGATGGAGCTATAATAGCTAGAAGAAAATTACAAACTTTTGATAAAACAATAAATAAATGATGGAAAGATATTTGGTATGTATGATAGACTGCAGGTAACAATTTTTTAAATAAATTGTAATGTGAATTACTGATCGTAATCAAAACCAATAAATATATCTTATTTTTTTATTTAATAGTGGTGTTATGAGAATTTGTTTCAGTGGTACACATTACTCACCACATACCACAAAGTTCCATTAACGTTCAAATTTGATAACATCACACAGTAAATTAAGGTCAGCTCAAAACTATGATTATATTTTAGAAGTATAAATCGTATATGGTTAACTAATGTAAGTATTTATATAATCTCTACCAGTCTTCGCATTATAGAATCATACAACTCCAAAATCCATCACATGGTATAAGGGCAATACACATGAACATCGCATCAACTTGAGTTTCAGTCAGGTTGTCACCAAGCTCCTCTACAACCACATTGAATTGGTTCAGGAGTCATTGGTTCGCCATAGAGAAGACCAAGGCTTGGGTGGTCTTCTCAATTGTAATACCACCAGCTCCCCACAAAAGTAGCACTGATTCAATAAAAAACAACTCCTTTGGGAACAAAAAAAAAAGAAAAGCAAAAGATTTTTTTTTTTTTTAAAAGGTAAGAGATTCAACAAAATCAGTCATGGTACCTTCTTCCCTCGAATGACATATTTGGCTCTCCTTAGATTACCATACACTTTGTGCTACCGATGAACAATCCCGTTGGAGTAAGCGTTCCAGGCTCAGAACAATCGTTGTTGATGCCACTGATTTCCTTAGGCTTCAAGCCTTCAACTAAAACATAGATAATACTAAAACGATAAGAGAAACAGAAACATAGACCCGGGACAATGCAAGCTCAGCTTTTCACTAAAATTTTACAACAGCAAACTTCATTTCGAGTACAACAAAATATTATTGAACACTTTAATCTAAAACACAAGGAACTTCCCTAGTTCCAAAGTCTAAAACCTACGACTGCAGACAATTTTCAGAAGCTTTTCCCTGTTATAGATATTTGTATAAGATATCAATCTATCAGGAAATGGTGAAAGAGATAGGCTTTACTTTGTTCAAAAGGAACAGATTTTCTTATCATCATGTAGTCATTGTGGTTAACCAATCTGATAGTCCACTCAACTTTTGTGGGGTAACCACGTGAAGTGTAATGACCCATTCTGGAAAACCAGTGATCAGGTGTCGTACCGCTTAATTTTGTTATCCGAAGAATTTCTTCAAGAATAACCCAAACAGACTCCACAAAAGAGACAATGGGTGAACAAAGAGCGATGGATCCTAGGTTGGAGCAAGCCGCTTCATTTACAGTTTGATTGATACCAAGTAAGTGACCATGTCAATGTCTGAAACACGTTCAAAACCAAACCCAAGGACTGTGTTTATGAAATTAAGATTGTACCTTATTCGTTAAATCCTTCTTGTGCTCACTCGTTTCAGCAACATGCCTTATCATGAACCCCACGAACAAAAGAGAGAGACCACTTCCTTCTCCCATAAATCATATGCCTACTTCGTACAACAATCAAGTTCAAACACATTGTCTAGAGGCATAGAAAATCTCAGTAAAATAAAAATAATGATTACATTTGATCAAGAAGCTACTAATGTAAGCAAGTCTGTCTTACCAAATTTATATTCAGTGGGGTACATGAAACGCTCAGAAATGGAAAGATGGCTCCTGTGTTAGACCATTTCATCATTGAGACACTCCAAATCTGCGACGCCTTTCTTTCTTACTTACTGGCCTCAAACGAACAGAAACTGCAGACGTTTATTTCAGAAAACATATTGACAAAGCTGTCAGTTTGTAGTAACTAAAACATAGAGAGAAGCAAATTATTATTTTATAGAATCTGAGAGTAGCGAGATCACACATTTTCTTTGTTAGATAGAACTTGTTGTTGTTTTGGAAAATTTCTTCTAAAAGTGATGTTTAGACGTCCTGCTTTAGTAATACTAAACTTGGCTGTGACATGGTTTTGTAGAAAGAAGAAGAAAAATGGAGTGGGGAGTTCTCAGTTGACTTTGAAGGTAGCATAGAACTTTGAAGGTAGCATCGAGGAAGTGCAAATCAAATCAAATTTAATCTTCTTTTTTTTTAATTATTTTTTTTATAGTTCTTCTGTTCTTATTTGCGTGAGTATATGAATAAAAATATCTACAGCAAATCATAAAGAGAGAAGTGGAGATTATAAAGAACCTTTGCCCAATAAGAGGTGTCTTTGAGCCTATCGTCAGCGAACACTACTTCCTCAACGTTCACTCTTTGAAACGGTTTCTTCGGCTATAAATCAAATGTTAATACACACGCATCACTGCATCAGTACTACACAGTTAACTTATCTCAAAAGATGATTCAAAAAGCGATTACCTCTTTTGAGTTAGACTTGTTGTCTGTTGATTTTGATTCCTTGTAAACATCAATCTGTTTAACAGGTGTTTCTTGAACACTCATGCCGTCTTCCTTCGTCATATGTTTAGACTCCTCATCATCTTCAATTGTCTCTTCTTCAGACTCTCTGATCTTTTTATCTTCCTGGAAACTTTCTCCTCATCACCCAAAATCTCTGCTTCAATAGCTTTTGACTTGTTTTTCTTCTTCTTCTTCTTTTTCTCTTTCACCTTCTCCTCCGTAGTTGCCTCCACCTTTGCATTCTCATCTGCTTTCTTCTCCTTACCATCACCTGATACATCTTTCACCCCCACAGCTTCTAGATTGCGATTACATCACACACAAGAATAAAAGCAAGACTTCTAAACATCACATAACTGGAGATAAACTAATTGACCCACCAACTTTCGCTCCTCTCCCTCGCACTCTACATCCTTCTTCCTTTACATCTCTAAATCCCTCGCACTCCACATCCGGCTTAAGAGTTGGATTTTGGGATTTTTGAGAGTATAGAAATCTTTGGAAAACAACCTGATATTTATAGAATGAGATTCACGAAGGCTAAACGAAGCCATTAAAGAGTGCTTCGTGGCAAAGGGATGGATTTATGGTGTGGTGTCGATGAAACGATTTCAGATGAGAAATCGAATCGGCGACGTAGAAGAACAGACAATCGGAGTTTTCGGTGATGGTGTAGGTGTTACTGTTGGATCAGATTGCTGAAACGATTTACATTGAGAAATCCAATCGGCCATGAAGAACGAAGAACGGAGTGTACATTAAATTAAGGTTAGTCACCACACTGATTTGGGCCAAATAGGCCGAATATACAAACAATCAGAAAATCATAAAAACAAATGAAAACCCATTTGGTTTCTGATTATTTTTGCTGACATGGCATCATGAGTGTTAAGTATATCCCCTTCTAATAGTGTGTGATGCACCTTTTTTCTTTGCCTGAGTGTTATGCAAGCCATGTGGTCGTCATGGCCCATCTGCGCCTATGCGTAAATAATGTGTACTTAAAATTATAAATCTAATAAAAATAGGTGGAATTATTAGCTATATGCTTACTAGGCCTGTGACTTTAAACCGAACGGTTCGAATCAAAATTTTCGGTTTTCGGTTCAGTTTTGGTTTTCAATTATGTTTAGTTCGGTATGATTATGAAAAGTAATTCGGTTTTTGGTTTGGTTTTTGATTTTCAAAAAAAAAAATTAAAAAACCGAAAATAACCGAAAATATTTGAAAATAACCAAAAAACCGAACCGAATAAACCGAAAAAATGAAAATATCCGAAGTTAACCGAAATAACCAAAAATATCCGAAAATATCCGATTTTTTTTGAAAAGTTATACTGGAATTAACCGAAAACAGATAAAATCGATTATTTTCGGAAATAATTTTGAAAACCAAAATTAACCGATAACCAAACCGAACCGAACCGAAATTTAATTCGGTTAATTTCGGAATAGGTTTCAAAATTTCCGGTTAACCGAAAACCGACGGTTCGGTTCGGTTTCAGAAAACCGAAGTCGCAGGGCTAATGCTTACCTTGAGTCAGTGTCGAAGTTCGTTTTGATAGCAAGATGGTCTTCCTCATGTTACGTGGATTTTTTTTCTCACTGAACAGAGTAAAAGCTTTTAGTTCAAGAGGATATAACGTAAGAGATATATATTGGAGTTTTGTTATGTACCGTAAGAGTCACAATCATCACAGCCAGCTATTTGATTAAACTTAAAACTCAGTTTGTTTTATATATAAGTACTGATGAAGGGGATACGAACTATTTAAACTTACAGTCAAAGAATGTTGGTTTGAATGTTGGTCGGTCATTAATCATACGAACTATAATTTTACATAGTTTTAGTACTATCCAAAGGAATATTTTAATACAATAATTAAATAATCCTGAGACTAAGAACGCACCTTTCCGTTTGTTACGTGATCCAAGTGAACAGCCTCTTTCTCTTTTATGCTTGTGTCCGCCTGAAATGTTGGGAAGGGGGTAATCATCTAACTTTTTTTTTAAAAAAAATATACAATTTCAGTGTATTTGAATACTTTCTTAAGGCTAATGTGATACATGTATATATATACATCAAAATACTTGTAGCATTGGTCTGGTAGTTTATGTATCTGTATTGATGGGAAATGTGGTTTCAAATATAGTAGCACTAACCCGAGATTGAATAAACATTAGCGTCATATCAACCAATGTTGGAAGTATATGATACATCACATAGAATTCAATCACACTTTCAAAGAAAGAACTCTAACTTGAATTGAAAGTATCTTTTGAATTAGACATGGTGCAAATACAAATGCCTATTACTTAACTCAAAGTAAACGATGTAAAAATAAGCGTTTATAGTGGCCCTAACAAAAGTTAGTACCATATGTTTATACAAGAGTGTATTCTTTTTCATTACAGCTGACAATCTAAGGGTGAAGAGTAAATGCAACATGTTTGATTAGTAGTGTATCTAAAGTGTACAGGGATATGGAGTAATCGAAACACTAACACAAATCATATTGTGGTTTATCTTTTGATTGTATATTCAATATCTTAACCAAAACGAATCTGAAACCCATTTTAGAAAAATTAAAACTTGGACGCTCCAAATATATTCTACTTTTGCAGAGAAAGATGCAGGATAATAAGTATTTAACTGGGTGTTCCATGGGTTGGTTAGAGGGCGGGGAATCCATTCCGGTGGAACGGTGGTCCTTGCAACCAACCTATTATCTTTTGTTAAATGTATTTGCTTTCAAAATGTTGAGTTGTTATGAATGTCATGTATTAAACTTACTCAGTTTGTGGAGGATAGGCCTGCAAAGAGGGGAGAGAACGTGCCTTCAACAGATGCAAGGGAGAGATGAGTTTTTGTGTGAGACGGTTTAATTATTTCTTTGATATAAAGTTCGAAGTTGCTAAAGGCTGGGGTAAGGAATTATACTACCTTCCTTTTCTAATATAATATTTTCGTAGATATAGAAGCTCGAAGATTTGGGAGTTATTTTTTCTTTCAAAAGGGAAAACGTAACGTAGTGTGATTCACTACTTTTAATTATGTCTACGCTTAGTTTAAACAGAGCTGGCCCTGTGTAGAAGCAGCAGAAGTAGTGGCTTTAGGCAGCCAATTGTCAAAGTGTGTCTTTACTCTATTGGTTGAATAGGCTTTGATTATGTTCATGAGACAGGGTTCGAATCATGTCAGCAACATATTTATTCATTGTCCACCATTTCCCACTTTTGGCTTCTAGGATCTACACATGGATTTATCTGTTGGAACATTGCTTCACGAGCCATGTCTCTGCATAGCCTTTCCGCATGAGTGATAATTATTGATCTCACCTTGGTTTCGAGTGTAGAGATTGGTGGTTGCGAGCTGTCGATGTTTCTTCTTATGCAAGTTTCATCGGAAGATGCAACAGAGATGGCGACGAAGACGCAACGGAGATGGCCACGATGATGCTCACGGAAAGCTTCATTGTTTCTATTTACCTTGTCCATGAGAATTTACCTTATACTTGGAGAAGAGTAATGTGAAGGTAAAAAGGAAACAGCTTCTTACTCTCTCGCTCGCTCTCTTTTTTTAATTTATTGTTTTGAAATCGAGAGTTAGTGAGGCAAGTCAGTGACTAAGTCAATTTTATCTTAACTCTATTTCTTTTTTTTCATAATGAAGTACAAAAACTGTAATTCTTGTTGCCGAGAAGGCTTTGTAGAAATCATATTGTAAATCGAGGTGTTTTGTTTTTGTTCTGTTTTGGTACTGAGTAGGGATTTTGTAATTTAAAATGTTTAATGAAAATTCTGAGTTTAATTTTAATGAAGAAGAATTTGTTTTGTAAAAAAAAAAAAATTATACCTGAACTTGTCACTAATTTTCGTTTCAGAGATTTTTTTTTTAATAAAGGTGTGTTATCATATTCCTCATTACATGCTTGCATTCAACCAATATTTGTTTTGGTCAAACACTTCTTTCAAAATCATTACTAAAAAAACAATTTATAAATAACATATTCTACAGACACAAACTGAACAAAGTCAAACACAAAGGAAATCAGAAATTCAATGCGGTTTTTCGAATTGCTACTTATTTAACATTGATAACTAGGTAATAATCCGCAAAATGTGTTTATTATTTTTGTTATTTTTAAGATAAAAATGATATTATGTTTGTTTAGTATGGATATTGGTTCAGTTTTACGTTGTTTTTTATTGTTCTAAAATATAACTATCATTCTAAATCTATATTTTATTTGGTTTATTTGGTTTAAGTGTTTGATGTTTTTAATTTTTTTGATGATAACCAAAAACTCTTGTTATTTGTTTGATTTCGTTTTATATATATTTTAGACATTTTTGATGTCAAACTAATAGTTTCCTATTATAATTTCTAAAGACATGTAAAATCAAATAAAATCTAAATAATATTTGAAGAAAATAAAATAAAATTATTAACAAACAATATTTCGCTACAATTTGAGCGATAGTGAATGAAAACATTAAAAAATCAATTTCAATAAGAATTAAAATTCTCACTTGTGGTGAATATTTAGTTATATAGTCGCTCATATCAATATGTACATATATGTATATGTAAAAGTATATAAATGTGTTGATAAATATATGAATATACCGTTAATTAATATTTAAAATATTTATGTTCAAAATAACACATGATAGTAAATTCTTAAATAAAATTAAGTAAAAATAAATAAACCTAGAAATTAATAACATTTTTGCATATGAAGTAAATCAAATTCTACCCGTAAACAACAAAAATAATATATATTACAAAATGACATCTTCACTTGGTACCTGAATTATGTTTCTAATCGATTTTGTTATTTTTATTTCTTTTTAAAGCTTTTTTTTTTATTTCTGATTTTCTTCTACCAATTTGATTTTGTTTCTAATTCTTGGTCTGATATGAAAACTTTACAAAAATATTAATATTTGCCTAAACTAAAGATCCGACTTTACGTGTGGTGTTTTTCACCTCAGTTTCTTTAATTCATAATCAATCACCGTATTTGTTGTTATTGTTTACCGAAGCCTCAACATGACCAACTTCGGCAAGGTACAAAACTTTCAATTTCTACAAACATTTTCATCGCAACATTTTAGTTGATGCGAATCTTAATGATTTTTTATTTTTTTTTACAATAAAGATATGATTCATTAGTTTCATGTAGAAAATTTTAATTTTTTAATACAAAGGCTAAAAATGTAAGAAAAATGAATTAATTAAAAACAGTATATAAACACATTAAATAATGAATTTAAAAATTAGTGTGTGAACGCATTAATTGCCAAATGATTGTGAGACCGACATGTGTCAATTACGGTGTGAACGCATTTATTACCATGCTTCTCTTTTAATATATAAGGGATAATACGAACTTCCAACATACGGTATAGACAATATTGCCTCATTAATATCAAGTTTTTACTATCCATTCCACGCAAATTCAATAAACTAGTTAAGGCTTTTGTAGTAGTAACAGTGCTTGCATAATTTACCCATGTAATCGAGATCGCAATCCTTCCGTGGCCTAAAGTTGACCATATTTGTATAATACTGTCTCTTCATAGAAACATGGATTCCTTTGAGTGAGTTTTTGATTCTCGCCCAGCAATGATCTGAAGTTGATAGTCTTTCCCCCCATAGTAGTTTATCTATATACTAAATACTTTTTACCCTTTCTATACTTACCTATGGTGAGAATTAATACACCGTAAAATACGTACCGTTTGGATTGTTTCTAAGGGCGGATTCGTGTAGATGATGCAGGCCTGAGTTTGATTCCTTGTGGAAGAAGAATCGAAGCAAGCATTCAATATAGTGAGCTTCAGGGTTGCCATTTTCTAAGCATAATTCCTTCAACCTATAGTGCTCAGTGACAATACTTAGTGGTGCGGCAGCAAAACATTTGATGTTCATGTTTCTGAAATAGCTTGTGGGATCAGGATTTGAGTAGTCTTTTTTTGTTGGAGGCATAGCCGCTGTGGTTGATGTTGTAATTGTTGATTGAGTTTTCGGATGACATCATAAACTGGTATTAGTTTCTTGGTTAATACTGAGAGAATTTTACTCTGTTTGAGTATCGAGTGGAGTGAGGGAGGTGAGGATGATAGGTTAGTAGTGCTGTCGATGAAGGGGTTTTTAATTTATAACCGAAAGCTCATGTCTTGTTATGAATTCCTTATGAGTCGACTTGTCCCGGAATGCATTTCTTTTTATTTTTTGCCATGCGAGATTGAGAGCTTGGCTAGGTACTTGTTCCATGTCTGATTTGTTCTGACGGCTGCTGTTTAAAGTGTAACGTGGTTGCTTTTTACGTTACTCTGAGTTATCTTCTTTTCACTGTTTTAGTTTTGTCTCTATCACCTATCAATCCATGGGCTTTTTTCGACTCCCTGGCTGTTGGGCCCGAAATTGGGCCCATTAATTTCGATAACACGAGATCCGTTAAATGCTAAAGATAGACGCCAAGCAAGCGAGCCCGCAAAGAGTTCATGAAATAAGACGAGAACAAGGGCTGGATCTGATCGCCGCAAGAAGGCCCATGCCCATATCCTGTCATCGTGTCGTAGTCAACGAGCACGATAAGGTCATTGTGAGACCCCGAAGATCGCGGTGGCAGTTAGAATAGAAGATAGCTATAAAAGGGAGCTAGAATGGAGTACAAAAAACACACGGAAAAACCCTATAGCATATCACTAATCACATCGACCTCACTCCATGGACTTCTAGTTTGCTTATAACTTCTACTTTTCATTGTTGTTCTCGATCTTGTTTACTACTTGGTATCGAATCCCGTATTCAATAAAATCCATTTTTGTCAACCGAATTCCAATTGTATCAATGTGTTTAAGAGCATTGATATCACTCAAATGTTTAACCCTAAGGAGTGAATTACTCTCTCAAATAAGAGGTTCAATCGTAGTACTTAGGGATCGAATCCACAGAGAGCAGGAGCACACAATAGACTATAAAAATCAAAGTTAAGCTAGGTAAACAATTTATAAAACAGTAAATAAAAGTAATGTGAACAGAGTTGTTTGATTGGTTGAGTTTATAAACAATAAGGAGAAATAGCTAGACCTAGGGATTTATCAATCAAGAGATTCAAAACAACAATTCAAGATGCTAACAACTTATAGATTCATTCTAGAACTCGATTTTAATAAGTAAGTAATCCATCTATCAATGCAATTACTAATCCGATGTCTAAGTCCTTGTTCCACCTTTCGCATGCGAACAAGAAGTGAGTATTGATCGATACTATGGCCTGAGTATCGATCGATATTACCTCAGAGAAGCATTAACACCCTAATCGATTATGTTCAACTAGATTCCTAGACCACATTCTCATATGCGCCTAAGTATCTAATCCAGCAGGATTCGGGTTCCGTTAATTGACTGCACTTTCGTGCATCTCAATTGTCCTATGATTCTAGGTTCAAGTAATCAGTCATGCTATCGTGGTATCCTAATTACTCCAGATCCTAGTATTACAAATCACCCTGGTGTAGAGATCTATAGATATTCTCGAAATCCTAATTGATATTTAGTTTAACATTAAGCTCATGAAATCCCTAAACCTAACAAGATAAACTACTCAGGCATGATAGAAGAAACACAAATCATAGTCTGAATAATAATAGAATAAGAAAATAAAGATGATTCCAATGGAGTTCCAAGAGGACTCTGAAGGAGTTCCCCTCTTCTCTCCTCACTAAGAACAATGAAACAAAAGATGGAAAGAAGCGTAGATAGCATAGCATAGCCGTCAACAATGGCTTGCAAATAACATAAATAGGGTTTCTAGTCGTCCAAGGGTATTCTGGTAATTTAGGTTTCTTCTGGGCTTCAGTTGGTCATGAAATATACTCGGCCTGCATTCTGGAATCCATATCGATCGATATGAAGTGTCTCCCATCTATCGACATGCACATATCTTCTCGGCAGCCTTCTCTCGCGAGGCAGACTGACCACTCTTCAGTAATATGGGCATAACTTCTGATCTAACCGTTGGATTGACCTCAAACCGGTGGAATTGGAAAGCTAACTCAAAGCTCTATCTTGTGGCAAAAGATCAGCTAAATCTCACCATGGTAAAGTCTCCATCTATATCTAAACATCTGACGCGTCTGCGCAGTTCTGCACTTAAAAGCTCCAAAAGACACCAAAATCACCATATTTCTCCAGAATGTACCTGAACCTGTAAATACTCTAAATAGACTCTATATTGTAGTAAATATACATAAAAATATATCAATACTATGACCAAAAGTGGGTCAAAATCATGGTATATCAACTCCCCCAGACTTACCCTTTTGCTTGTCCTCAAGCAAAACATACAGGCAGTCTCTCTGAAAGAGGTTTGAAAACAGTAGGGACACAAAAAATTTTAAAAACTCAGTCACCATCTCTCTAGTAGTGCAAACCAAATCATAAACATCCTAACCTTAGAAGCACATTATACAATATCCTAGTA